ACTTATCTTAAGAGCATCGGTTTATTTTCTTAATATTGTGTCGATACTTGTCCACATAATAAGGTGATTTGAAGCTATTTTGCTACATTTGTCTGGGGGGTACCTTTCATTTCGTTTGAGAACGCGGATCTAAGGGATTCGTATATTGGTCGCACCGGATACCTCAAGAGGGTTGCCTTGGACTTTTGTCTGTTGAATTGTGCGAAGAAGACCTCGGCTCACCTTACGTTTCCGATGACTTCGTTCTGAGCTTTCGTCCGTCCTGTGACGGACATCGTCAGAGCCAGAAACCATTATTCACGAAAAATCACCGAAAAACACTAAACCGAGAAAGGTGGCCAGCTGAGATCCTACTTGCTTCTTATACCTCACTTTGCATTCCATGATTTGGTTGGCTGATATATGATTGTCCTAAATGCATGTAAGTGGGACAAAGTGATGCAAGCAGGAGAGCGGATGTGGTCACAACTTTTGTCTATGTAAATAAATCAGAGTATGATCCAGTAGTTACAGCTTCGTGGATGCGTGTTTGCGTGTGTATGCAACTACCCCGAATTAGTTGACAATTTTAGATTCAAAAACAAGCTCCAGCTTAGTTTAGTCTTCTATTACTCAGTGGCTCTCCTTGTTTCCTGTCCAAAGCATCATTTGGCAGTAATACTGAGAAGGTTCTATCTAGATATCTTACTTATGCTTTGCCAAATAGTAAGAGCTTCACTGATAAGATTTCAGTAGAGGTTATTAACTTTACTGACCGATTAACAGAGAAAACTAGAAGTGAGATTGAAATACAGGTTGTTCCTCTAATTGATAACCATGTAGAAGGACCAAATAAGAATGGATGTGTTAGTAATATCGTAACTAAGTTTAGACAGCACGAACAAATAGTTTTGAGGGCAAAGGGGTAGTGGTAGTAATGGATTGTATCGATTATATAGAAAAGATAATGCTGGCTTTAGCTGATGTTGATACATATAGGGCCTGTCTAGTTTGTATAAATACTTAATTTAACTCGTTTTGTGCTATATTTTAAAATTATATTAAAAATTTTGCAATTAACTAAGTATTTTGTTTAATTTTACCCTAGAGTTATTTGGTTTTACTACTGACGATATTAAATCCTTTCTTATTAGAACCCCTCCATTTTGGTCTTCGTATTTACGATCTTATATAAATTCGTTTAGATGACATAAACATGCTAAGATATTTTCAGTTTTTCAGAAAATCCGCCATTTTATAATGGTTATATTTTGTGATAAAAACTTTTAGATAAAAATTACACATTCTCTGACGAATGATATTCTCGTGTATATATCCACAAAGCTCTACGTCAGCCATCGGTGTAAACAATTTACTATATATTTTCAACATTGAAGGCGAAAATAGACATTGGTATTTTCTCTAACTAGATAAGGATATAATTTGTCAATAATTTACGATTTGCTTAAACTTTCATATTTTTGAATAGTTTTGGCAACCCTATTGACTTTTGCAAAACAATTTATTTTACCCTTCGACATATAAAATCTCACTTGTACTCGTTTTACTATATTTTTAAATATTTTCTCTATACTTTACGCTTAATGACGATTGCCTCTGGCCATAGTGAGCCGGTAGATTTCGCTCAGATTGAGCCTAACCGACTTGGCACCCAAGCTGGAGTCTATCTAGAGAATTGGGAGCGCGAGGAGGCTGCAGCCGTTCTTGCTCGCCGTCAGCAACGGAAAAGCAACTCGAAATACGAAAGCGATGGGAATTTGATGTGTTGTCGCTCCCTATGGGAGTCAGATGACGATACAGATTCATGGCTTAGTGACTCAGAGGACGCAATCTCTGACCCAGAGCCTGAACCGAATTTTTTGTTTGACTCAGCAACCGGATCCTGTCCTGCAGAAATGAAGGCTGAGCTGGTTAGTCAGGAGGGACCACTGCAGACATTTGCATCTTCATCCAGCTCAGACGAGCTTTCACAGCAAAAGACAGTA